TGTTAGAAAAATAAAACTGTCTTAGCTGAAGATGACTCCTACCCTGTCAAAACTTATATTTGCATCCCCTAGTCCTACTATTCTCACCATTAAGTATGAAAAAAGATGATTCATCAACACTATCAATTCCCTTTACAATCTTAAGCACCTCATTCAGATCCCCTCTAACTCTTCTTTTTTCATGATAAAACAATTTCAGATATCTTAATCTACCTTCATATGACAATCCCTCCATCCCAGGCACTATTGTAATAACTCTCCTCTGAACCCTTTCCACTAATTCAATGTCCTTCCTAAGGTAAGGAGCACAATACTAAACACACTACTCCAAATGTGGCCTAACCAGTGATCTATGCAATGAAATTATAACCTCTTTAGAGTTGTATTCAATTCTTCTGCAGATACAACCTAAAATCCTATCTGCCTACCACTAGCAACAGCACATTGCTTGGATGGCATTACACCATTATTCCCATCTAAATTATACTTATAATTCAAACAAGCTGAATGCCATCATTATATGATGGGAAATAATGATTAATTTTTCTTCTCAAAATTATATCTAAATAAATGTTTTATGAACATGTTATCTAAAAATTAATTATAAGCTAGTAACAATATATGTATGGAGGGTTACTATCCTATTTCTAATATTTCATGAAAACAAAAATTTTTATGTATATTTGGTCATCTCCTTTAAGTACTTTCATCTTTATATAGTAGATTATAATAACCCACATCCATTAACTTGCATTTATAGATTGAAATGTGAAAAAAACTGCTTCTAAAAACATATTTCTACTTCGTCAACTGTACAACCCTGCAAATTATTAATTGTGATGGTAAAGACAGTTAATTTTATTATGAATTTGGGTCTTCTCTTTTGACTATCTTCCTGGGTTTGGCTTTGTTGGCCTGCTGAACTGAAGTGCATTTTAATTTGGACATATTTAAAATTTAAGTGTACTGCAGAGGTAAAATATGGGTTATTATGTTCCAATTCGACAAAATTTGGTGATGTTGTGTCAAAGTGGCTCCTTGTGAACCAAGCAAACATAAAAGGGAATTTTAGCCAAAGATTATGATTTTTGTTTGCCAGCATGGGGCATGCATATACTCAATTCAATTTTATTACTCATCACAATCTCTACCAACCTACCCTCAAATCTAATTATGTTCCCAAAGTAGTGCATCCTCTGGAAGAATTTCAAAAAGACAAACTTGCTTGTCACAACAGAAAGCATCGTCATTTTCTGCATGTTGTGTGTCGATCAATATTACAATATCCGAGAGACTGGCATGTGCAGACCGAGGGGTTTTCATCTTTATATAGTAGATTATAATAACCCACATCCATTATCTTGCCATTTATTTGCCCAGCTCACTAAATGATCTAAATATTTTTGTAAATCAGCAGCATACTCTTCACAGCTAGCAACACCCAAGCCCTTGATATCATCAGGAAATTTAAGTAACTTATTGACCATTCCTTCTATGTCATTGATATAAATCAAAGAGAGTAAAGGTCCTAAGACTGAGCCCTGAGGTACCCCGCTTCTGACATTAATCCAGTTTGACTGAACTCCATTTGTAACAACCCTCTGCTTTCTTCCATCTAGCCACTCTTATGTCCAATTAGTTACCTTATCCCCCACACCTATAGAGATAATTATTTTTACAAGCCTTTTATGTGGCACCTTGTCAAATGCTTTCTGAAAATCCTGATACACCAAATCTATACCCCTACCCTCACCTACTAAGGCAGTAACCTTTTCAAAGAATATCAAAAGATTTGTAAGGCAAGATTTTCCCTTTTCCCTCAGTAAAACCATGTTGACTATCCAACAAAATTCTAAACTTTGTTAAATTACTTTGCAAAGCATCTTTCATCAGACTTTCCAAAACTTGTCCCACAACTGATGTAAGACTAATAGGCCTATAATTACTGGGACAATTTTTATTACCTCTCTTGAAAAGAGGAGTGACATTAGCTAACTTCCAATCCTTTGGTACCTGCCCACTATTCAAGAACCTATAGAAAATAGCAGCAAGTGGCTCACATATCCAATCCTTAACCTCCTTCAAAACACTTGGGGAAATATTATCTGGTCCAGGAGATTTGTTTTTTAAACTTCCCAATTTTTTCTTAACAAGGTCAAAATTAATTGTTTGACATTGCTTCCATCTATCAACTGTTCAAGATCAGGAATACTATTTAAATCTTCATTAGTACAAACTGAAGAAAAAGCAAAATTTAATAACCACAAACATTGGAGACAGCTACATACTATATATTTTCTACATTAAAAAATACTCTAAACTTCCAGCCAAGTCACCACAACCTGGTGAAATACACCACTTCTTTTTCAAGGTAAGAAGTAAAAGAAATGACTGGCACTGTGATGATATACAATGGGTTTGTTGGGGTGTAAAAAAACTTCCATTGAAATGATCAAACCTGATTAAGGAATACTAAATGACATTTTTCATCAAAAAAATTATTTTGATTGTGCCATTTTTGTTTTTATGTATGCATAGATGCTGTGTACAGATAGCCATACTCTTTATGATATATCACAATCCATTTGAGCCTGGACAGCCACCAAAATTCTTAACCACCTGGAAATGTATACTGAAGATAAGCATACAAGCTTGTTTGAAATGACTAACACCACTGAGAGAAAGGCTAGGAGAATTCCATCAAGATTAAGAATCTTGAGGAATTCCCCAAGTAATACTGAAGAAACACTTTCATTTATTACCTCTATTTTGAAAAGCTTTTTTAAAGGCATTTTCACACAGGGGAATGCCAGGACTGGTATCACATAGTGTGTCTTGGAGAGAATTTGAAAGAAGTACCTAAAAACCTATATTTGTCCAAAGTGTAGAAGTACCTAATTTTATTTTTCGTTTATAACCAAAACAGTAAAATTCTGAGTCTTCTAACTTCGAAAGGGAGGTTCTAGCCTAGAGATATAACCTGATCTACCATCTGAGGACAATAGCTGCTTCTACATTCTTGCATGGGGCAGCATTTGTCTTAATGCATGAACTACAAACTTTGATTGATAAGATTAACATGACATTGATTGACTGATTTCAGCATAACCAACTTCTTTCTAAAAAAGTGTTATATACCATGTGATAAAGCTTTTAATAATCTTTAAAAACCTGTGCTTTGATTTGTGACATAAAAACTACTTCATAAGTGGATGAAGCCTGAAATACTGGCAGACCAGGTTATTGTAGTATTAACTGATTAATTTCAGCATTAGACATTGTGCCAATAAGTTATGTATCATGTGTGTTTAACTCTCTTTAAACACTTGTGTTTTGATTTGTGACAAAGAGTTCTTAATAAGTTAATAGTAGTTTCAAAGATTGACTAACGAGGTGTATTGAGTATTCACTATCAAATATCACTGTTACAGGCTGTTTCTGTCAAGAAGTGTTATATATCATGTGATAGTGTTTAATGCTCTATAAACACTTGCCTTTTGATTTATGAAAAGGAGAGTCCTTAATAAATTAGTGCAGTTTCAGAAGTTGAGTAATGTGGTGTATATAGCATTCAGTGTTATAACATCGATATCACAGACTGTTTGTGTCAAGAAGTGTTATATATCATAGGATAGAGCATTAATTTACTTTCCCAAATGGGTATTTTGACTTGACACAAAGAGTCCTTAATATGCTACACTGTAGAAAAAGACCACAAGACGAGGAAAAATTATTGCAAGAGATATTGTAAAAAGTTAAAACACACATTTATAACAAGAAATTTCTTTTATTAGCTGTAGTATATATCAGGTATATGCCCTTCATCAGGATTAGCTCATAAAATTACAGAATATAACAGTATGTTCTGTAATTTTAACAGCTAAGCCTGATGAAGGGCATATACCCGATATATACTACAGCTAATAAAAAATCCCTTAATAATAATAATAAGTAAGTTTAGTTTCAAAGTTTGATTAATGAGGTTTATTTTGTAACCATTGTCAAATTTCAGCATTTCATGATGTTTGTGTCAAGGAGTGTCATATATCGTGTGATAATGCACTTTATACTTTTCAGAAACCTGTGCTTTAATTTGTGACAGAGTTTTTAAAGTCGATGTCAAATATCGACTTACATGATTTATACTATAGGGTATTCAGTTTTAAATTTGAACACAATTGACTGTTTCTCTACATTTTGATTATTCTCACTAACAATTTAAATTATGAATTGTATTTGGAGTTGCATATTGTTATACTTTAGAGCTTACGATACTCAAACTATCTGTAGAAGGTGTGGGTTGTAATAAACTGTAGCTCACATCAAGTAAGATTGTGAATATTTCTTGACTAATATTGTTAGTTATTAAATGATTACTTTTAATATCTTTTTGTTTAAATTTGTAAGTTATTCTTTCGGAGATCCGATTGTTCTGCATTTTACCTTGGCCAATTCTGAAAGACTACACTATCGTTGACGTAGCTTAAAAGGATTTAAAACACAGGTGTATACTTTAAAACATTAAAAAAAACTTTTCCTATAATGCTTAAAGTTTTCCGCCAATCAGCATACGTAATTTTTCGTGCTTTACCTGGTGCATCAATTTATACTCACTCGTTAAGTTCCGCATAAAATCCTTTCTAATGCTACTGAAAACATATATATTTCCATTTGTCAAATATAGCCCTCTTCCAGTTCCAATATCACATTCACAGGGAAGTGGAATGTCTATTGGCAGTTGGGACATTACCATTTTCCATCTAACTTTTAAAATCAATAACACTAACAGTTGAGTTAACACGTTTTTTTTTTTTGCTTTTTTTATAACTACGATTTACTGATGCCTGATTTTGGCAGAGGAGTAGAGCTTCAAAACATCTCGACAGTAACTAGAAATAGTAAAACAAATTAAGTTAAAGTTCTGTGTCTTGTCTTGGTCAGTACATAAGAAAAATTTTTTAAGCAGAAACAGAATTCTGGGCTACCACCAGATATCATACCTTTAGACCTGACACATCCTATTTGAGTGTGATCTAACAATACCTCCAGAGATAGACAGATATCTTTTATCAAAGTCATAATTTCTAATTACTGATTCCAAACGTTAGATCCTTAATAGTAGTAGATACTGCTGAAACAACAATAGTATAGAACGGCCTCTACCACGATATCCTCCGAGATCACGACTTTAATGAAATGAAATGAAATTACCAGACAAAATTTTATTAATTGCTTACACCCCATTAAAACGTGATGTTTTACAGGAAACATTTCTCAAGAATAATAATAATTTAGTAATAAGATAACATTTTAGTTATTTATAAAGCACACTAATTATTTCCAAAAATTGTTTGTCTTTCTATAAACAGTACAGTTTACATACAGAATTGAGGAAAAATAAGACAATTGTATTGTTACGACAGCGGAAGTCACGTTACGCTAGTAACACGTCATGATATTCTCGAAGGTTCGTGAATGCTTGAGTGTTTACAAGATGTGCGGTATTCTTGTATGTAAGTGCGCCAAACAATGGAATTGAATTGTAGACAGAGATAGAGACGGACAATTGAGTCAAACGCCTGAATCGTTCGTTGTGAATTATAGCGTTTGAGGAAGTTAAACTGACTGTGGAAATTAGGTGTATTGCAAAGTTGTATTGAGAAAGAATAAACTAGTTTTATTTAAGGAAGGACTTGTATTGCTGAAGTTTTTCGGAAAAAATTTCTACGAAAAATTAACAAACGAACACAGAGACGTAACAAATTGGTGTCAGAGAGTGGGACGAGAAAAAAAAGGATACGAGAAGCGGCAAATCAAACTACAGCTTAGCAACTTTGATGGCAGCAATACAAGAACAGCTAAAGAAACAAGAAGAGAGATTACAACAGCTGTTGGAAGTAAAAGAAAAGAAACAAAAAAAACGAGAAGAGAAATTACAACAGTGGTTGGAGGAAAAATAAAAGAAACAAGAAGTACGAGAAAAGAAACAAGAACAGAGATTACAAAAGTGGCAACTAGAACAAGAAAGGAAACAGGAAGAAAGTATCCAACAATTGCAGGAAAGTCAGTAGCAACTACAGGAAAGTCAACAACAGTGGCTAGAAGTACAAATGGAAAACATTAGTAAATTTAAGAGCGAATTAGATACGTTAAAGGACGATTTATTGTCTTTTACACAAGGAGGATACATTAACATTCGACTTAACCAGACCCAGACAATGACAAGCCCTTCCAGACCCTGCAGCTAAACCCTAATGCAGACATATTAAGTCCCGTTAGAAGTCACATTCTAAATATGAATGTCAGTACTAGGAGTGATC